CCCCAAAACCCCAAAACCCCAAAACCCCATATTGAAACAATTAGAGATAAATCTTGCATTTTAGAATAATGGCTATAATAATTAGATTTAACTTATAAAATGAAAAAAATTGTAAAGACTGCAGTTTCTAATGCTCCAAGAAAGACATTACAATTTCAAGAAGCTGTAGACAAACCCCACATTCATGAGCCTTTAAAGTCTACATTTCATGTTGCTATGCTTTTATTGGGCTGTGGAGTCCATTATGAAAATCCCAAGAATGTCTAGGTCGTCATCCCTTCTTCCAAATAAGATTAAAATGAAAACTCTGAGTAGATTAATGCTGAAACCAAAGCAAATAATAGTCCATAAAAACCACCTAAGTAAAAATTAGAAATAGGTACCAATATATTAGAGGCTACTGCTCTTAGAACTATTCTAAGTCAGCAAAAGATCTAAACTAAGTACTTCTCCTTAAATGGCAGTCTTCCTATGGCACATTTAGCTAAAATCAATTAGCCAGATTAAAGAGATCTGATGGAAGAAAGCGCTAGACTTGTAAGAAATACACGAGATTTACGGTCTCTTGCATCATTGACAAAGATAGATTCTTTTAGAGCACTTATAATCCCATCATTTACTCACGAATACAATAAATACCTCCTGGAATAGGTATATAATGTGCCTCTTATTCGTTCTATCATTAAGGAATTTCATATGCAGTAGCGCTATATTCTTGCTGTAGGTCCTACTAGCATTTAACTAATAAATAAAACACTTGATTTGTCGTAAAATAAACTTAAAATACACCCAGACATTAAACAAAAAAATCCTTTCGATCTTAAATACAACGAGGAAAATAAAATCATCTACCTTCCCTACTATCCTTAATCTGTAGATGATCATGTTGATGGAGCATATAAACTCTATGAAGGAATTTTTTCAAGTGTAACCTCACTAAAATATAGAGTTTTGAAGGAAAGAGCATAAGAACATGAGAGAGAACAGCAACTCAAGTTAGAGTCAGGGTAAGCAAAGGCAGTTTTGCCAGCAGGTAAACCTAAGATGGAAGAAATCGAGGATAATAAAGAGGAGATTTTACAGCTGGAATAAAAATGAAGTAAAATAAAATCTAATGATTGCTGATGTCGCGCAAAGATATCTACCAGCTCAATTTAATAAATTAAGTGTGACATAATGATATCGGCAATTTTATATTGTGAGTTAGTAACTAATCAAACTTAATTAGCTTAATAAATTATCACTTAATTTAAATTATGAAAGCAATATTACTTGATAATTTAACATTATTATTCAACCTTGTCTAAAACGTGATCTCAAATTCAGACAGAGAAAAAATTTTTCCCAATAATTTAGTATTTCTGGCAAGTCTAATGAATAGCATTTCCTTTTAATAGCTATTATGCTTGCTTTATATCAATTTTAAAGATGTTTAGTTATTGAGGTAACTAAGGGTGTTACATAGTATTATTCCATATATTCAAGTGATGTGAGTGTTAACCTTTGTATATACTAGATAGTTTTATATGACTGAGGCATATTGTAAGTAATCTAGTATTTCAAAAAATCCTCTAACAATATTTCTATTGAAGTGGATTTAATCTAAAACTTCTCTTTTAGTTATCTGTTTTGATAGAGTAAATTTTTGCATTTTTTTATTTCTAATTCTGAAACCACATAATTTTTAGAATAAGAACAGGTTTGTGTGATTTGTACTATTTGTTTTTTTATGTATTCTGAAATATTGATCTAAGTTTAAAGTTAATAATTTCGATTAATAAATATAAATATGAATGATAATTCGATGATAGATGAGTACTATAAAATTACGCATGATTATGATAAATTCAAACCTAATGTGGATGAAGACAACCCACTTACTGACTCTTTCATAAATGAATATTTGGCGACGGGTAATTTAGAGCCTAGAGATAATCTGATACAGCTAGGAGGATCAGGGAGAGACAGTCCCTTTGACTACTAAAATCCAACAACAAATTAAACATAAAATAAAAGCAGAAACAATAACAAATTAAAGGGAAGCAAGAAATAAATTAATGCCTTCATGTTTAACTCTAGCGATGCAGTCACCCCTAGCACCACTCAGATTAATAGCAGAATGGGTGGAAGTGGATCAGTTTCCCCAGCTGTAACAAGTTATTCAAACGGTGCATCAAAACAAAGCTTGTTCCATATTGAAAATTCTCAACTTTTGATTTGCAAAAATAACATCAATAATAATGATGAAAATGATACTTAATAAATCTATCTTAACAAATACATTCCAGCAATGTAAAATCCTGATGAGAAATCTAAGAAAAGCTCCGAGACACTAGAAAAAATTTAGGCATAGATCCGCTTAAAAACATAAAATAGTCAGATCACTGTAGAGAATCATTTGAAATTTGAGACTTAAAAATAAAAATTAGTTCCTAAGCTTCCATTGCAAAATATTTTAGCCTTATAAATTGATAATGAATCTAAATCACAAGCGAAAGGCTTCACTTTCCTAGGAAAATTCGTCAAGACACATAAATTTAAAGATAAGGGTACAAAATTATAAAGAGTTCAAAATGACTCAGATATCAGAAAAATGATCTTATAAGAATTTAATCAAAGGAGACATACGTAAAATCAATTTTAGCCAAGCCCACCTTCTCACTCTTAGTAATTTCATGTGTATAAGGATATTTTTAAATAAGCCATTCTTAAAATTGCCCTCAAGGCCTATCACTAATTTTAAAATTAGCAGATGTGGTACTTTAACTCTCGTTCAAATAGTAAAGAACTAGAATAAAATGTAAATATATCAACACTAAACGATGACATTATAATAAATAATAATAATAAAAAGGTTAAGGTACTGAATTACTTAACTTAGCTGCCTCCAACCTCCACTCAGCACAAATCAAGCAAGAAGTTTGAGTTCAAAATAGTTAAGTCACGCCAATATCAATAGTCAAATTAGTTGATGGGGCATAACTAGACTATTTAATAGGACGATCATCGATAATAAGTCACTCAAGGGACAATGACTGCGAGTAATACAATAACAGTACCGCGAGGGAAAAGATTTGAGGATTTTTTGCCTCCACAGAAAAGAAATCATTAGGGATCGAAGAGTAAACTTAGGAAAATCATTTCAAATGTCAAAGTTTGACTTTAAAACCTTTTCTAAACACTACTAATAATGGGAATGTCCTATAAGTTAATAAGCAGCTGTCCTAACTTCAATTGTCATAGTCATATCTTCATTATCAAGAAGTTTGTAATTATTACACTTTGTAAATAAAGTCCAGCTAGGTATCATCATAGTTAATTATTCCAAATTTAATAATGCATTTGCATATCATAATCTAACGATCACGGGGTTTTGGGGTTTTGGGG